TACAGACATATACACGAGTGAATAACATGAATCTACATATAAATGTCTGGAGACACAACTTTTCTGACATCTTCTGTGTTATACTTAGAATGTTCTCTAAAGAAACAATAAAACCTGTGTGATTCCCTGAAGGCAGAGAACACTCTTCCCAAGTTGTCTGCTTTTGAACCAATCACTTTACATATTCACGGGCTACCACAGCTATAATGTCCTCAGTAACGGGAAGTCTTTAGAGTCAAATGGCTTTTTAAAAATGATCTTCAATTTGCTGGCGGGTATAACTGTTCATATGGAGTTGGATTTTTACAAATGTATAAGGTGCCATTGCTTGAAAAGGACTTGAAAAGGAATGGTTTCTATCTAAGGGAAAGTAAGAGATGTTGGGACAAAAACCGATTTTCGTCTGAGGCTGCAAGGCCTCCTTGGCCTAAATCAGGCTTTCTCAACCTTGGCACCAGGGACGCTTGGGGAAGATAACTTAGTGCTATTCTGCACTTTAAGGGTGGTTTAGCAGCTTCTCCAATGTCTACTCCAGAGCCTGACTATGAACCATGACTCTAGACATTGTCAAAGGGCCCCTGGAATGGAAGTCACTGCTGGTTGAGAACCACTGACCTGGAATTAGACGTGGAGAGGGGGCTGTCGTGGGAGCAAAGATGAAGAGTTCCGTTGCAGATGCGTTGATTTCCAGATGCAGGGAGGCCTGGGACCTGGTGGAGGCCCTGACCACTTTGTTGTTGGGTTACAGCCAGTCAGTTCCGACTCACAGTGACCCCATGGGATAGATGGAACTGCCCCAGTTTTCCAGCTGTATTCTTGACAGGAGGAGATCACCAGATCTTTCTCCTGCAGAACCCGGGCCGGGTTTGAACCGCCAACCTTTCCATCAGCAGCTGAGTGCTTAGCTGTTTACACCACAGGGTTCCTTGTGTAAACACACTGCCATCGAGCCGATTCCATCTCATCGTGACCCATAGGGCCTCCAAGGCTATCACTCTTTACAGAAGCAGATTGCCTCATCATTCTCCTGGGGAGCAGCTGGTGGGTTCAAACTGCTGACTTTTTGGTTGGCAGCCAGATGCTCTACCCACTGTGCCACCAGAGCTCTGGCTTCATCTTTAAATGTATGAATAAGTTCATATTTACAGGTCTAGCTAATTAGACATGGTGGTGTTTTCTCCATAGTTCATGTTTCCATATTTTTTTAAAAAATATTTAAAATAAAAACTTTTAAAGCTTAAAAACCAAAAGAAATGATACAGTGATTGACCCTAACCAGTGTTCCTCAGCAGAGGCACTCTTGGCATTTTGAGTGGGACAGCTGTAGTATTAGGCCATCTCAAGAAATGCAGGACTTTAGCATCTCTATCTACTAAATGCCAGAGGGACCTACAAACCATGGGGACAACCGAAGACACCCCACACATTGAACATGCAATCTAGACTCTAGGATTGAAAGCTCACTAAGTTTATATACAGTGTTTGAACACTTAACAACACTTCTGATTCTCTTACTTATAGGTTTAATTTATTAGATTTGTAGGAATTAATTAAGTGCATAGGAAGATCTGTGTATTATTAGGTGTGGTTCTTAAAAAGGAAATTGTTGATCTTAAACTCTAGTATAAAGTGTTTAACTAAATTTGTGAATGGGACCAAACATTAACAGAAGATTCCATTAAAGGACAAAATGTGTATGAATTGTTGAATGGAAAATGAATTTGCTCTATAAACTTTCATCCAAATCACAAAAAAAGTTAGAAAAACAAAAGAAAAAGCTATCTTTTAAAGTTTTTCTTTAATTATATATGCATATTGAAATATTTGGGAGCTCTGGTGGCGTAGCGCCTAAGGCATTTGACTGCTAACCAGAAGGGTGGCTGTTCAAACCCACCAGCCACTCCTTGGAAGGAAGATTGGTCAATCTACTTCTGTGATATGTGAGGTGTGTATACTAGTCTCTCTAGGTTTGTGTTTTTTCAAATTCTCAAATAAAAGGTTCAAAGCAAGTGATTGCTGGCATTTTCTCTAAAGGACTCTGCAGTCCATGTCATCTTGTATTCTCAGACTCTTACGTATGGTAAGGACATACCACTCTCCACAATGATATCTAATTGACTCCTGGCTATTTCTCATGGTTTTGTGTGATTTAGTGGTCACACAGTTCTGAAGTCCATCAAAGATAGGATTCATAATGCCGTATTCTTTAAGCTACTCCATCTCCAAGAAGCTAGCATTTGTCATCGGTTACCTTTTTCCTAAATGTACTTTCCTAGTCATAGTGTAGATTCTCTCTTGGATTTTAAAAATAGTAATTATTGGACCCCTAGAGCTCAACATAGGAGCTCTGACAGCATACTGCCTAAGGCACTTGACTGCTAACCAGAAGGCTGGTGTTTCAAACCCACCGGCCACTCTTCGGAAGGAAGGTGGGGCAATCTACTTTCATAGTGATACCGCCTTGGAAATCCAAGGAGGGGTCACTGTGAGTTGGGTCCGACAAGACAGCACATAACAACAACGACAACAGAGCTCAACATAACCACACAGGGCTATGTAGGCTGTAAGTTGCAAATGAGCATCTGTAGTTTTGATTTTATGTTGGTATCTGTCTCTGAGTCTGTATCTATGTACATTCTTAACAATTGCCTTTGGTTATTTTTCCTTTCCGTTGAATGCGTGTTTGTTGATGATGGTGATGTCTATTGCTTTAGGCATCATGTTGTGTTTAAAGATGTGGATGCAGGTACCGGGCTGCATGGGCTCCAGACTGGAAGCCACTCCCTAGTGTGTGTCTTTGTACAAATTATTCACCCTTTCTAATCCTCAGATTTCCTCACCTATAAAATGAGCGTGACTAGAAGAATACTGATCTTATAGGGTTGCCCTGGTGGCAGTGTTCAAGCTCTTGGCTGTTAGGCAAAAGGTTAGCAGTTCAAACCCACCAGCTGCTTGGTGGGAGAAAGGTATGACAGTCTGCTTCCGTAAAGATTGACAACCTCGGCAAGCCTCTGGGGGCAGTTCCACTCTGTCCATTAGTGGGGCTCTAAGTAGGAATTGACTCAGTGGCTTTGGGTTTGGTTTGGGCTTTGCTTCCATAAAGATCATAGCCTTGGCAAGCCTCTGGGCACGGCAAACCCTTGGCAAACACACAGGGTTTCCAAGGATGTAAATCTTTATGGCAATAGATTGCCTCAGCTTCCTCCTACAGAGCAGTTGGTGAGTTTGAACTATGCCACCACAACTCCTTAATAGACTACCAGACACACTGTCATTGAGTCAATTGTGACTTCTAATGACCCTCATAGGGTTTTTAAGGCTGTGAATCTTGACGGAAGTAGATTGCCCCATCTTCTCTGGCTGAGCAGCTGGTGGGTTTGAACCACTAACCTTCTGGTTAGCAGCCAAATGCCTTAGGCACCGCACCACCAGGGCTCCTTTAATAGACTACAGTATGGTGTAAACACAACTTTATGTGCACTGGAAAACCAAACAGTTCTTTGACTCTCTTTGATTGCGATATCCACTTTATTCCAGTGGGTTGGAACCAAACTCCCAATATGTCTGAGGTATTCCTGAAGTGACAACCATCGTCCAAAGATACACAGTGTTACAGTATGAGAATAATTGTGTAGAAAATACCTGTGCCCACAGATTCCTGATAAGAATTCTCTCCAGCCTACTGATAGTTCTATCATGGAGAAAGCATAACAAGGGCAAGGTTTTCCCTTTCTATTTCAATGACCTCTATTTTCCAAATGTTCTTTCATAGCTGTTTCCCAATTTAAAATGAAAAAAAAAAAGATATATTAGCATGATATTTTTAAACTGGTGTCCCTGGAGAGCTTTGCTTTCAAATTAATAAAAATTTGGAATTTCTTTAAAGCTGCACAGGTATTCTTAATAGATTTAAATTCTCATGTCCTCATGACTCTTATGTGGTTATGGTATTATCCAGCCCTATTATTCACAGCGGCTTGCATCAGAGAGCATTTACTGACTTGGATTTGTAACTCAGAGTATTAAGGTTAATACAGTAATGTGCTTAGCAGTCTCTTTATCTTTAAATGCCCACACATGTGGGTCTGAGTGCATATGCATTTGTGCCCAATGAGTGAACACAGAGGATTCTTCTAGCTCTAAAATAGCATCAATTGAAATTAGTTTTGTGAAAACTTTTGGTGACAGTATAGACAGCCTGAGGTAACATGAGTTCAATAATTTGTGTGCATACAATTTAGTGACACTGATAACATTCTTTAAATTGAGTTGCCGTCCTCACTGCCCTTCTCCAAATTAGTGCCCCCCCCCATCTTCATTCACTGCCCCCAGCACTTCCCACCCAACCTTCGCAGTTGCTCTTGTCAATTTGATCTCCCGCAGATAGTTCTTTAAAAGAACACACTGCTCAAAGCAGACCGTCTTTACTGAGTAAGACAGGCTATTGTCTGGTTTAAAGAAGAACTCAGGGAAGAGTTTTGGCTTAAGGTCTACAATTTTAAAAATTATTTCAAGGCAATAGTTTCAAATTTCCTAATTCACTTCATTTAAATTAGGTAAATTTATTTATATTAGGGAATTTACCTAAATGACCTAAGCCTTTTTCCTAGATAGGCATTAAGGGGCCACCTTGTCAGTCAACCAGAAGGCTGTGAGTTCTGCTTGTCTCCTGTCAGAGGGAAGCTGTCTACAAGGGTATTCAGTCTGAGTTGCCAGGATCCTGACTAGTATTCAAGATGATACACAGGCTTCGTGCTGAAGTGAAGTCTCTCTTGCAATGAAGAATCTTGCAAAATAAATAATCTTGGTGCTGTGGTTTTCAACCGCAATCATTGTTCCTAGCTGCAAAACTCAGATCAAGGAGTGGGTGGGAGGTTTTAGCTCAAGGTTGCTGCTGCCTCAGCTGGATGGGCACTGGTTGAGTCCATCCATTCCTGGGCATGGTTTGTGGAGGTTTGGGAGTGACATATATTATAAAATGTGTATCTTGCTTTGTTCAGGTTATACTGGGGAGCTTTGCCAATCCAAGATCGATTACTGTGTCCTGGAACCATGTCGAAATGGAGCTACGTGTGTTTCTGATCTCAGCGGATTCACTTGCCTGTGTGCGGAAGGTATATATTGTTACTCAAAGAATATCTTTCCTTTTCCATTTTCAAGCATAAGCTAATTGAATTGTACTTTCAATTTCTGAAAAACTCTACACGAGAGAACTTCTCATTTTGTTCCATGTATAAAACAAAAATAAAAGATGGTTATTATTTGTTTTTTAATCTTTGTGCTATCATAGGTTGAGAAGTGTGTTTGAATATTAGATGTAATCTCAAAATTTCTAACTTTTATTTATACATTGAAAATGAATAAGCATAAGAAAATGAACTCTCTCTTGAATGGTGAAATTTCACTTATCTGTATAACTTATACAAGCTAATGTATTTATATTTGTTAAATTATTTGTGGCAGTGTTAATATCAGTTCAAGTCCTTACTTGTTTTTATTTTTCAATCCACTTTACAAAGTCTTAAAAAATGCATGACACTCAGCCAGCCATGGGCACCATGGCTTCTTGATTACTCAAGAAGGAGGTGAGTAATCCCATCTATCTGATGTCCCATTTTGTCCTTTGAGGAGGCTTCGTTCCCCTTTCTGCTTGCAGGGATGTTATGGAAGAGATTACTTTAAACGTTTAATGCTGTGAGGATAACATGATATTAGAGACCCCGTTTTTTCAAAACCAGCATGTAAGCTCCTGATCCACAGAAGTGACATTGGCAGCTACATCAAGTTGTCACATCTTCTTCAGAGATTAAATGTCCAGTCCAGGTGTAAGAGAAGAATCACTGTAGTCACAACCACCCCAGGTTGCTGTTGGCCGAAAGGTTGGAGGAGGCCAGGGGTTCAGGATGGGGTGCTCATTAGAGAGCACTGATCTCCGGGTAGCCCTGGTGTCTTGCAGACACCAGCATCAGCACCTCACAGTCTTCACTGTTTAGAAGAAAAAGCATCCACATGAGAAGGAATATTGTTGTCTCCCAACTTGTACTCACTCTGGGGTGGGATGGCCACGGCCAGCCTAGTTTCTCAGTCTCCAGCTGTGTGTGCTTGCCATGAGCGTGGTTGACCATGGCAGTGGGCGGCACCTGTGCTTAATGCCACCTGCTCCTCATTCTCCACTTATCTTTCCTTTGCACTGCAGGCTTGAGCCTGTTGAGCAACTGGGAAAACTTGCAAATGTCACCAAGGCCTGAAGACTGAGTCACAGGACCAGTCGTCACTAGCAGTTTTCCACAGCTGTCTTATACACTGTATTAATCAGTCGCCACTTGACGCTGATTGGAGGCTGTGAGGATAGACAAGGGTGAGCTGCAGACATCAGCTGCTGGTTGGCTGATGACAAATCCAGAATTCCCCTCCCTCATCCCGTCTCCTTTCCTTTTGCAGGTAAATGCAGGTGACATGACAGTGCTTTCTTCACAAGGTCATTCTGGGATGGAATGAGATGTTTGTGAAAGAGCTTTGAAAACTGCAAATTGCTTTGTTACTATCATTTGCATTGTTAGCGGAAAGTTAAAATGAGACCCTGGCGGGTCTCAGAGGTGGGGACTTGCACAGAATCACACTGGTCATAAAGGATCCACCACCCGTCTGTTAGCTTGTTGTACTGGGGTGGTTTGTGTGTTTCTGTGATGCAGGACGCTACTTCAAATACCAGCAGGGTGTCCCATGATGGACACGTTTCAGTGGAGTTTTCATACACGAACAGACAAGGGAGAAAGGTCTGGCAATCTAGTTCCAAAACTTAGCCAATGAAAACACTACACCAGGGCTCATCTCCATGATGATCCAGAGCCAGGCAATGTTGTGTTTGTTCTGTTGGATATGGGGTTTGCATGAGTTGGAGCCAATCTGATGGCACCTAACAACTATAGTGATGGCACTGCTTAGAGAGTCTTCTTTATCTAGCGGCTTATTGATTTCTTCATGCTGTCTGGGCAAATCCTAGACAAAAGGCAGTTGTCTAGAATTTGAACAATGAAGATGAATTTAATAATAGTCTTTATATAAAGACTTCCTTTGAGAAGTTTATCCTCATTGAAGTCTGTCCAGGCAAAGGGAGCTTTATTTGTACTCCAGAAGGATTCATTGGAATGATTTGGAGCCTGGTGACTGGCATTTTTAAAGCAGCCCCTCCCACTGGTATGTTCTTAGGTCAGTTGCTACAGTAACTAATATGTATGGAGCATTCTAGACTGTAACAAGAGCATGTGTCCCCAGCACCCTTCTAATACTAGCCACACTGTGAGCGTGTGCTGGAGTTCTGAGCAGCCCTTGGCACTGGCCTGCATGCTTGTCACTCACTCCTTTGTGTTTTTGTGTTGATTCTGTCTGGCCCATTGCCCTGTGCTATACTTGGAGGTAGAAAATGCACCGTATTCATCCTCTTTTCCTTCATCTACTCCCAATGCCCCACCTACTGATTAGCTCTGTGGTTTGTGTAAGTAGAAGGTGGTTAAGAAACATGAGTTAAATACATTATAAAAGTCATCACAAATATTACTCAGTATGTCTGCTAACATCACTCACTATGTCAGCAACAACAAAAACCAAGGGAAACCCTCAGAGATGGATTTAGATAATAACTGCAGATTCATATCAAAGGTCATGAGGATGATGCAGGACCAGACGGTGCTTTGTCTTGTTAGACATAAGCTAGCATGAGTCAGAGCCAATGGAGGACAACTAACAATAACTCAACCAAACTCGCTGCCATTGAGTTGGATCCAACTTACAGCGACCCCTCCTTGGGTTTCCGAGGCAGTATCACTACAGAAGTAGATTGCCCAGCCTCCCTTTTGAGGAGTGGCTGGTGGGTTTGAACTGCCAGCTTCTGGTTAGCAGTCAAATGCCTTAGCCACTACGCTACCAATATGTCTACTAATTCATTTGATCCTCTCGACAACCCCAGGGGACAAGTTATGTTAACATTTTCTTTTGACAGATGAGGGAATTGAGTCATAGGATGGTAAATAACTAGCTGGAGAGCACATGGCTAGAAATTTAAACCCAGGTACCTTGGCTCTCCGCCACTCATCTGTCAGTTTGCCATACACTGGCAGCTTCATGTTTCTGTGACTATGGAGCCCATGCTACTGGGATTTTCAATACCAGCAGGGTCATCCGTGGTGGACAGGTTTCAGCAGAGCTTCCAGACTAAGATGGACTGGGAAGAGGGACTTGGCAGTCTACTTCTAAAAAAATGTTTTTTTTTTTTTGTTGTTGTTGTTGTTAGGTGCTGTCGAGTTGTCTCTGACTCACAGTGACCCCATGGATAGCAGAAAGAAACACTGCCCAGTCCTATGCCAGCCTCACAATCCCTGCTATACCCGAGTGTATTGCTGCAGCCATCATGTCAATCCATCTTGTTGAGGGCCTTCCCTTCCTTCGTTGACTCTCTTCTTTTCCAAGCATGA